AAAACTCTTGTTCATTTATTGAATTTTCTAATATTTTCTACTGCCTTGATTTGTGATGAGCAAAAGTAACAAACTACATATGTAAAGAATATAATGCATACTTTTTCTGATTTTGAAAATTAAAGCTTAAATTAAGTCATAAGATTTTTTTTAAATCCATAGAAACATTTTAAATAGTAAAACTTAATTTTTAAAATTAACTGTACTCTGATTCATGTCCTAATGCATTTCTAATAGGAAAGGGGTTGAAGATTTTGAAAAAAAAAAACCAGAGAATAGTAGATGAATAGAAATGTAGAAATACTCAAAAAGTTTAAAATTTATTTTATAATTGGCTCATTATCACAGAGTCAGTGTTTTCTGCATTCCAATGTGGTATTTAGTTAATTTGGTTAATTTGATAGTTTATTATTTTGCTCTTGGAGCAAGATTATAACGTATGCTTGAAAAATCTTATATCATTTCAGCTGATAGAATTTATTTATCTACATAAGTTTCTCCTCTTCTCACAACATTGTATCTTATGTACAGGATTCCAGTAATGAATATTTCAGATAAAAACAAACATGTATGATAGATGCCTGATTCAAATGATTTTAAGCTTGCCTTTCTGAAGGGTAAAGCTGCCTATCAATTAATTCCTCTTTCATTAAAATGACAAGAAAAATTAATAATGACAAGATCACCATTAAAATATCAAAATAATGAATATTAGTTATAAATTAAGTAAAATGATCTTTTAAAACTATATTTAGAGGGCCAGGGATTTAGCTCAGCGGTTCTGCCACCTGCCTCACAAGCTCAAGGTCCTGAGTTCGATCCCTGGTACCAAAAATAAAAACAAACAAACAACTATATTTTGATACCCTATCTTCCATTGTAGAAAGATAGGAAAGCAACTTCTTTTCTAATGGATAATGTAAGCAAGAGTATTGGAAACTTCAGCAGTAATTAGTGGTAGACATGAGGATCTTTCAGATACAGTCATTAAAATATTCTGCTAGAATTAAGATATATGATCTTTAAAATTTTAATTTTTCATCTTTAAATGTCTGAAAGTGCATAGTGGAACTGAATAGAAACTAATTTGTGTATTCAATCTATCCTCTTTAGAATAACTGCCATGAGATAGACATCATATAGGAAACTTTATGTATATTGACCCATATCTTCTTAACCATCAGAGAAGAGGGATAGTTAATGCAATTCAGGGATTAGGAATTAAAAATGTGAAGTATTTGAGTATAATTGAAACCAAGAATAATATTAATCTGGGAGACCATTCTGTTTTCTCTTAGACTAAAGTATTCCTTCACACTCTACAAAATGGGTTCCTGACACCAGTTAAACTATTTTCTAGACTACTAAGCTACAACATAGATGTATTTTACTTAAAGATGTATTCTACATGAAAAAAATATTGATTACAATTTTTAAAATTAGAGACAAATAACAAAGTTATTATATCTTTTTATATCAAATTTATTCATGGATGCAGCATCTATTGATCTTCAAAGTTCATCTTTATCACTATTCATTGTGTTATGCCCATAGTAAACTAGGATTATTATTGCATATTGTGAATTTATAGCCACAGATAGCAAATAGTGTAGTAATAGTTTTTTTTTTTTTTTCTAGTACTGAAGATTGAATACAGGGAATTCACATAGAGCAACATCTCCCCTACCCTGGCACTTTTTCACAAAGTTGCCCAGGTTGGGCTTGAATTTGTGATCCTTCTGTATCAGCCTCAAAAAATGCTGGGATTACAGGCTTGTACCACTGTGCCCAGTTGTAATGGTTTTCCTTAAAACAAGTTATTTAACATACTTTCTTTTTAGTTTGTACTTTTACATTTCAAAATATAGATTAAGTTGTAAAATCCCACACTTTATCTGTGCTATATATAATTACTGCAATTTCAGGAAAAATTTTCCATGTAAAGTGGATACATTTCTGCTATTGATATAGTATGTTAGTTCTACCTGATCATTTCACTCAATTAAGAGTAGTGTTGATTGAAATTTTATATGAAGGTAACTAAGGGAGAGTGTCTAGATTAGGTGGAAAATTATGCCATCAAGATATGATTTTTAGATACCTGAATTTTATTTCTCAAAGGCCAAAGCTTAAAAATTATAATTAAAATTGTAATGGCAAATTTTAAATTGCATAATGGAAATATTTTCATAATGCAAAGATTTTACTCACAATAGGGTTAGAAATTTAAGATTTTAAAAATTTTGCTATGTAAATTGGGTGGTTAAATAAAATTTTCATAATTTGTTCAGTCTTATGTTAATATATTGTGTCCTGAAATTTCTCCTTTCTTAAATTTTTGGGGACTTTTTTCACAATTTTTTTGATGAAATAAACAGCTGTTCTTTTCCCTGAACTCATAATATTTTTAAATCATTTATTTTCACAATTGTATGAACTTTTAAAAACATTGACATGCATTTAAAGTAAGAATTCCTACAATTTACAACATTCTGAGGTACTCATTTGAAGAAGAAGTTCATTTGCTATAAACTTTCTTCAACAATAGGTTGAATTACCCATACAGATATTTATAGTATTGGAAGGTAAAAGGAATTTTGTTAATTGATGTTGTTAATACCTTTTCACTTTCTTCAATGATTATTTTTTTTCTTTTAATTTTCACAAATATTAAATTAGATTTTTGGGACATTTAAACAAATTGAAGACTAAAGATATGGTTCAATGGTGCAGCACTTGCCTAGAAGGTGTGAGGCCCCTGATTTGATCTTCAGTACCAGTAAAAATAAATCAAATTGAATTTAAAAATATATAAATATAATACATTTGAACTGAGTAGACTTTGCTACAGAGGTAGACAGATAAGTGGATTTTTCTATGATAGTACTGAAAATCTTTTTTCTTTTTTTGGTACCAGGGATTGAACGCGGGTCCTTGCGCTTACACAGCAGGCGGCGAAACCGCTGAGCTAAATCCCTGGCCCCAGTACTGAAAATCTTGAACAGTTTCTAGTTTGGAGTTTAATATATATATGTATGTATATATATATACACACACATATATACAGATACATGCTGAATAGTAAATATTGAATAAATGCTTTCTGTGACACACTCTCATTTAATTAGTATGACAGCTCTGTGGAAAAAAATTACATTATGTTGCCAGTTAATCCATGAGAAGACCGTTTGAACCAAATGACTCCACATGATCCAAAAATTTTAATAACAATAGTGTACTACTTTCAAATTAACTATTTTGCTCATATTTACAGCATGAAATATATTCATAATGCTTAATATTTTTCCTTTTATGAAACATTTTAATAATTTCCACTACAAAATTATCTTTCTGTTACTTTAAGTGGCTTCATAGTATTATACTATGTAGATATTTGGTACTTCATTCATTCTCTGTAAATCAGTGCAACCCATTTTAACATTTTACTTCTTTAAACACGGCTTTGATAAAGCCACAGTATATCTTTCATATAAGCATCCTCTCCTCATAAATTCTTGGAAGTGCAATGCTGATGTTTTGTCTATTTTGAATTTGAACTATGACAGTCATATTCTTGTTTTATCATTTTATACTACTGTATGTAGTAGGAAGATGACTTGAATATGAGAAATTTTCATATTGTCCCAAATACTGACAATTATATAATTGTCAATATTATATAATATTGACCTGGACATACATTTCTTGTACAAAAGGACAACTTTCTAACAGAAGTAATCGCATTTCTCAAATAATGTTGCCTATTTTATTTATGTAGCAGAATAGTAGGAATATTCAGTAAGATATACATGTACATCTAGTGAGAAATAAAACCCACAATTTAATATATGATATTTTTATAAAAATACAAAAAGGATTGCTTGACTAGCTGAAATACATTTAAAGTAATCATTAACTGACAAATTTAACAAATATTTAGGAAGCATCTATGTAGATCACCCATTATGTCAGATATTTGAGATATGCCTGTGGCAGGAAAAAAGAAAAGAAAAAAACAGTATGTATTTGAACTGAGAATTAAGTTACCCAAGTACTTACTAGTTCAAATTTATCATAATATATACTTTTTCTATTGTGTGATAGGAATGGCTGATCAAAATCTCTTCAGCTTTTGATGAGATGGTGAAAATAATACTTTTCTGTATCACATCACTGAAATGCCTCTTTAAATAGAGAATGTGTGGGTATTCTCTAGACAAAGCCAGATAATACAAACCTTACATGAAAGGTAGTGTTTAAATAACTGTTTTAAGAGAACTTTCTTTGGATTTGATATTGTACTGGCACCATGATCTTGTTTCCTAACTTTCAATTCAGTTTCATATATTCATGGTTTAAATGAGTGGCTTTAAAATTTGAGTATAATTTGGATCAACTTTACAGCAAAAATGTGAGAGTCAGAGTCTTGCCTTATCTACCCCTTGTTAGTGAACTTTTCATTGCTATGACAAAATACCTGAGAAAAGCAATTTGAAGGAAGAAAGTTTTATTTTAGCTCGTGATTTCATAGGTTTAAATTGATGATGACTCCTCTACTGTTTGTGGGCCTGTAATAAGGTGATGTACTATGGTAGAAGGGCAGTTGGAGGAAAGCTGCTCACCTCTTTGCAACCAGTAAGCAGAGAGGGGAAGAGAGCTTGAGAGGAAAGTGCCAGGAAGACAAGATGTAACAGCCCGCCCTCATAACCCTGCCCCTGTGAGCTATGCTCATTAATGTATTAACCCACAGCTGAAGTTAAACTTCATGATCTTCCAAAATCCCTTCCTGCAACATTGCTATCTTGGGGATCACATCTCCAACACAGGAGCCTTTCGGGAGATATTTTAGATACAAACTATAATACGTCTTATTTGTTTGTTAAAGTTTACTATTAAATTTCAATGATTATGGGGCCATATCGAAGGTTAAAAAATAACGCTCTGCTGTAGGAACAATTTGCAAATGCAGAATTTCTTACTCTTTGACCTTCTCTTCTCAGGTGGCAGTTTTCCAGAGGATTTTTCAATATTGTTTACAGTAAAACCCAAAAAAGGAATTCAGTCTTTCCTTTTATCCATATATAATGAGCATGGCATTCAGCAAATTGGTGTTGAGGTTGGGAGATCACCTGTTTTTCTGTTCGAAGACCACACTGGAAAACCTGCCCCGGAAGACTACCCACTCTTCAGAACTGTTAACATCGCTGATGGGAAGTAAGTAACACGGTGATCAAATGTGTTTGTTACACTGGAAACAGTTCTTTCGTTCATTTGACAAATATTTATGAAGTGTGATGTAGTTTTTCTAGGGACGGCCAAAAACAATTTAAAAAAAGAAAAACTTAACCTAACAAAATTACTTCACCCTCAGGGTAGACAATCAATAAAAGATTTGAAAAGTATGTTAATAACGTATTGGTATAAACGAGAGAAAAATAGAACAGTGCAGAAGGTAGGGAAGGGCAGTGGGTGGAGCGAAGTCAGGGCAAACCTCCCTGAGGTGATGTGTGGAGGAGGTGGGGGGCATGGCATGCTGAGACTGATCGCATTCTGCTTCCAGAGGAGGGGAAGCCAATGCAGCCTCTGGTCCCAGGGTATGCGTGACCCACTTGTTCCAGGCAATAGGAAGAGAACCAGCATGGCAGGAGCAGAGTGGGTGGTAAAGATGGAAAACCAGTGGGAGGACAGATAGTCTGAACTTGGTAGGATGTTTTAAGCATTTTTGTGTTCTATTCTTGGTAAGATAAGTCACTGGAACCTTTTAAAGCTGGGAAATGATCTGATTTGAGATGTTTTTCTTTTTTTTTAACCAGTAATATTAACATTGATGATTATGGGAAGCCTTATATGATATTTGATATATGCTGTGTACTGTTCTAAGCACCTAATATAGAATTAACTCATTTAATTTGTCTCTATTTAAAGCAAATAATATTAATAAAATTACAGATAAGGACTTTTGAGGCACAGAAGATTTAAATAACTTCCCTAAGGTCATAGAGTTGGAAGGTGGTAGAAGTGGCATTTAACTTTAGGTAGTCAGGCTCAAATTGTTCTCTTCTGAATCATGGAACAGCAGCATACAGATGTGCAATAAGTTTACTACATATTTCATTCTGAATTCAGGACTCTAAAAATAGCCTTATCAGATATAAAATATTTGCTATAGACAGAAGGAAATAATTATGCAAACAAAAAATAAAAACAGGCAAAACCTCATATTTGTTGTATCTTTGTTGCGATCATAGAGAAACCTTCAAGTAACAGTATCAGGAAAAATTTGTTTTTGAAATAATTTACATTATTATCTACGGCCAAATAAAATGTTATGTCATATTGGGTATCTTATTTAATCATTAGCAAACACTAAGGTAAATTTCAATTCATATTTAGAACAATACTAAATATTGCATTTATCATATTATTCACACTTTTTAAAACTTCGTCTTGCTCTCTTAACTAAAAAAAGAATTTATTGCAACTCACATCCTATTTGAAAATAATAAACAGTGCTTAGTATGAACAAATTGTTAAAATAAAATATGACAAATGCTCAATAAATATTTTTGATTAATTGTCAGAACAAGAGCTTATATTTACATATCTCACAGTGGTAAAATATTTCTTAATGATATATTAAAATAAATTAATACATAGTACTATTGATTCACTTTTGCATTCTTGTATTCACTCAGTAATGATTCATTAAATGCTTCCCTTGTGGCAACACTATATTATTCAGATTGGCTTTTAAAATATGACATTTATTGAGCCCTGCTGGCATAACAACAATTTAAATGCAAAAGAAATTGGTAGTTAGCACACTTTAATTTGTTAAGAACAATCATATCATTCCTCATGAATGATCAGCCATTCATTCCATAAGTATTTACACGCTATCCATTTCTTACCCGATAATCTTTAGGACACACAGTGAACAGCTCAGGTGAAATCTCTACATTCCTGCAGCTTAAATTCTATTACAAAAGAGAAGCAATAGACAAACAAATACTTAATTTAAAAAGCTCTGATATGAATGGAAATAAATCGAAGGAATGGTTGTACTGTGTACTGTTTTTGATTGGGCAGTTCTTTTTGATGATGTTACTTTAACCAAAGTACAGAGAGTGAGGGAAGGGCCAGTGAGGATGTGGAGGAAGAGTTGTCTGCAGAGTGAACACCAGGTGCGAGGAGCAGTAAGGAAGTAGTAATGGGCTGGATAGAGTCAGAGAGCAAAAAGTTGGAAGAGAATGGAAGCAGAGATCAGGTAGGACTCTAGGTAACAGAGATGACAGCTTGCACCAAGTTGATAGAAGTTGGAGTTTGCTTATACTTTGAATAGAAGAACTTAAGGATTTCTCTGATAATGTATTATTAGAGAAAGAGCAGAATTTCAAACTGTTAATTTATCATTTTTAAACAGTATTTTGAATATATACACTATGTGATTTTAATATCCCATTGTTACCACATTTGAATTAATTTAACAAAAATGCCATATTTAGAGTTCTGATCAACTTTTAATAATTGAAATTATTTCTTTTATTTTCTGCTAATGAAAAGTACACATCTACAATATTAGAAATAGTTTAATTTAAAACGCAGGCTTCTTGGCATGAGTTATGTGTAAATTTTACTCTCACTATATTATGTGACTCCCTATATAAATCTTTGCTTGATTCAACCTAAGCAGACACCAATGTCAGTTGAATGTGCTAGTGGAAAGATCAAAGATAGAGGAGTGTATATGGAAATATACTTGGTCCTCATCAGAATCCGAGCCAAGTATCAGAAAACAGACATTTTAGGATAGCAGCTGCAGGTTTTGGGGTACTTTATTTTATGGATCGAGTCCTAGACCCTTCTGGAATATTAATCTACCACTTTTCACTTGGAAAAAATGTAAAGCTGAGTGGCTTACAGAATTCAAGTGAGCTTCACTTAGTGGTTTATATTAGCACCAGGTATTGTTAACAAAACCCACTTTTTTAACAGTATGTCTAGGGTTTGTGTTTCCAAAGGTCCGGTCACGTTGCCCTCTCTAAGCCTGTTGTCACGGCCCTGAATTAACAGTAGGAGTAGCTGCAGAGTGAATTGAGACTCTCACTGCACACATGCCCTAACCATGCTTTCTTTCAGTGTTCCCACTTCCTGCCAGTCCTGGAATGAAGGCGAAACATTATGTCTTAGCCTTGGATCCGACTCACAGTAGTGATCTATAGCTGTTTTGAAATTAAAGTGGAAAAGGAAAAGAAAGTACTTGAAATAAATGAGGATAAAGACAGAGCAGCACATTGTGTTGTACAATTAGAACGTTCAGTCACTCCAGATGGAGCAGTCATTCAATTAGTAGACGTACCCTTTTTCAGTCACTCTCTGGGGATAACTAGAGCAGAATTTTTAAAAAAGCATTTACCTACATAAAAATTATTACTTACCTCATATCCCTTCCTAATCTCTATCAAATACCCTCATCAGGATACAGTAAGATTTAACTTTATTGCTACAACACAAAGTGAAGCAAAAGACTGGCACTTACTTCCTTATCAGCCTAGACAACTAATCCAGCTGTACATCTTAATCTTCTTGAGTCTTTCTGAATACCTAACACTGTGCTGCGTAAACAGCAAGTATTCACTTGCTCTTCAATTGATCCATAAATGAGTGTACAATTTTGCATCATTTCAGCTAACTTTTGTAATTTAAAATATACATATTTTAACATGAATAAGAGTTTGGCAGCCAATGTCATTGAGTTTACAAAAGAATTACTTGGCTTTTACAGGTGGCATCGGGTAGCAATCAGTGTGGAGAAGAAAACTGTGACAATGATTGTTGATTGTAAGAAGAAAACCACAAAACCACTTGACAGAAGTGAGAGATCAATTGTTGATACCAATGGAATCACAGTTTTTGGAACAAGAATTTTAGATGAAGAAGTTTTTGAGGTAAAAATAAATTAAAGTTTAAACTGAATACAGTTAAATCAAATGAACTAAGTTAATAACAATGATAATCAAAATATGTTATAAAGCAAAATTGAATCTAAAGGGTGACCTACTTTCTTCCTATGTGGGTGTAGCAGTGATGTTTTCTATTGTTCAGTTAGAGAGCGATTAGACAATGGCAACTGGACAGCCTGAGAAACCTTTGCAGAGATTGGCTGATTTGAACACAGGCATACCATTCTGTAAGGAAGGACAAATGGCTTTACTCTTAGTGCTTTGTATTCTTTTCTGTGGAGAAAAGAACATTTTCTTCATTTCCTCCTATGGAAGATTAATTCAGAGAAGTATACAAGTCTTATATTCTGCTTCGCTTTTTATTTTATTTTGTGTGTGTGTGTGTGTGTGTGTGTGTGAGTGCTTCCAACATAGTCATCATATTGTAAAGGTGAACTTTTAAGTTTTTAAATTTTTTAATTTAAATAATGTGAAGTTCATGGTAAGAAGTTTCTTACAATTACATTTCACTAACTATGATAACTGCATGATTTCTTTTAATTCTTCATTCATTGCATCTGGTAATTCATGATTTCATTTTTAGCCATTTTTTAATAGAACAAATACATCTGAGTCCTAACCCCATAATGGAATGCACTTCTAAGATGTCCCTCATTATTTTTATGATGTTTTAGTAATTTATTTGAGTAATTTATTTTTCAGAATGTATTAAAGAAATTGTGAAATTGTGTGCCATAATATAGATTAAGAGACATAGTACACATGGGAGGTCTGCTGCATTTTGTTGATGTATGAATACATGTACATACGCACCTATGTACCTGTGCACACATATGTCCACATATACACACAGATAGTGTATATTTTCATACAAAAACGAATGAAATCAGAATGTCATCTAGTTTATATTTAAATTGTATATGAAACCTCTGGCATAATGTTAAATATAATTAACATTCATGATACTTTTAGGTTATTTGGGATACTATTTGTGTATTTTTCCACTACAGTGTACCTAAGTCATTGGCTCTATAGTACACTTTAAGATGATTCAGTTAATATTGAGTATACTCTCAGATATTCCAGTGTCATTCAGGGATTGTATGCAAAATGATAGACGACTGTTTTTATTAGAAGAATAAATATTAAAAACAATTATAATTTCAAGTATTGCAGAGTCTTAGTTTAAAGTAAAACCATTAGTTTCACCAAGTAACTTATTTTTGTACCACCTTTTCCAGTATCATAAATTAGCTTCTTTCATTTCTCTATGTCTCTCTCCCTCTTTCTCTCTCTTTTTCTTTCTATTGATTCTTAATTTTATAATACCACATTCCAATCCTGAAGTAATTCCAACTCTTTATTTGTAGAATTGTAAAACATTAAAAAAATAATTGTAAAGACTTTTTAAAATGAGAACTTCAGTGAGTATGGTAATGACCACTGAAAAATAAATTTATTAAGCTGCTTTGCATTTTATGAAATTGTATGAAACTTTAAATATTTATTTTTGTGAAGTATGATTAGTTTTAAAATATTAATAAATGCTCAGACTTTCACTATTAAGTCTATATTTTATTAACTTTGAACAGTTAAATAGGGAAACTATTTTTACTTTATAAAATTTTGAGAAAGCTTTAGAGAAAACTCTCTGAATTAGATGAATTTTTGTATTAATTGAATTCACATACACAAATAGTCATCATATGTAAAAATTAGGTCTTACTAAATGGCATTACTTTATGGATATGTGACATTTCAAAAACAATATAGTTTCCACTTGAAAATGAAACATGAAGAAAATAATTTCAATGTATAAACTTTAAAATCAGAAATAAAAATTCTTATTCTTTTTGTGAAATTACTTTATTCCATATGAATGTAATGCTAATATATCTTTAACTAAAAACATTTTACTCAAATATGTTTGCTTTCATTTTCCTTTACATTATAGTACCTACTTAGACTTTCAAATCTTTATAAATAAATGTATAAATATTAAGCTAGAAATGACAAGAGATAGAATGGTACCATGTAAATAGTATTTTAGCATTTGATAAGCAGTTGTCACAATGAGGTTGCTGTGATAATAGCAGTGATTCATTAGTGTAAAAATCAAAACTGTCACTTTTCAGAATTACAGCAATTCAGATTATTTGAAAAATTTTGTGTGTATTATTTCATGTATATGCTACCTTACACTTCTAGAATAGTACCTGCAAGGTAAAACATGTTAAACATGGCTATATTGGAATTGACGTTTGGTGAATTTTAAGAATTCAACAATAAACATAAGTAATTTAAAAATTTTGATAAGAATGGTTTACATGAAAATGCTGTATAGACTTGTAATTCAGATTTTGTAATTTCAGCATAGTAGATTGATTATAAGATTAGATTTTGGAATGAGAAATATCAGATTTTGAATCCCAGCATTTAGTTTAATACTTTTCTGTGTGTAATTATTTTATGTAAGTTTCAAACTTCATTCTTTTGAAGGGAAACAGAATCTCCATATATATAAAATAGCACAGCTGGGCTGGGGATTTAACTCAGTGGTGCCAGGCCTGCATTGCAAGCGCAAGGTGCTGAGTTCAATCCCCAGTACCTCCCCAAAAAATGAATAAATAAAGTAACAGCAGTGATGTATTTAAAGTGCTTAATATATTAGTAAGAATTTATATATCTGTACTCATGTGTTATATATAAACAGTTACACTTATCAATTATGCACCATTGTTTAGTTTTCTGTATGATTATTACTTCTTTTTATAATTTTCTAGCTGTAACTTTTCAGATACTTTTGTACACTTTTGGTATTGGTAAATCCTAGTACGTCTTTTTGACTGTCTTGTAGATAAAGGGCTCCTTCTTGGGTTACTTCCAACCTATAAAGTACCTTGAAAAGGTGAGATAAATTTGACATCCTCTTCCACTCCAGACAGACAGTCCACTAAGTGGAGATGGCTTGATTCAATGTTTACTTTCATACAAGCACAAAATATTGAGCCAATGCTAATCAACAGGCTTGGTTTCTCCAAGGATAATATGTTTCAAAGATGTGAGGAAAAATTAAATTAATAACCATATTGGTTGTATTATCAATAAAATTATTTTTGAAATCTTAAGCGGGTAAATTATTAACTAACAAATTATAGTCATTGTGACTAAAGTTTTCAAAGTTTGTTAATTTAATCTTTAAAAACCATAGATTATTATGTGCCTTGTAGGTTTTAACAAACATTTGTCTTTGAGGAAATTATTTTTTTCATTGAAGTAAATTAGAACATGATAAAAATTAGTGTTAAAATCTTATAAAATTTTTGCATTTCCCAAAGTCCTCAGAAAAGATTTTTCAGTTTAATTTTCTCTGTAGAAATCAATGAATAATAATATTTACAAAAGTTATTCTGGGGGCTGGGGATTTAGCTCAGGGGCACCCCTCCTGCCTCGCAAGTTCAAGGTCCTGAGTTCAATCGCCGGTACCAGAAAAATAAAAAGTTATGCTGTGTTAATAGTTCTGGAAGAGCTGAAGAAATCTTACTTTAAGTAATTAATAATAATAGTCATAAAGCAAATAAATACATCTTAAATAATAATAACCATTAAAAATAATCCATAAAACTTTTAACAGATTGAGTTTGATTATTTTGATACACTTATGTCTTGTTACTGCATGTATTTTCCAAGGTAGACACTAAAAAATAACTGTATCATAGTAGACATGTTTTTTTCTATGGAACTATGTAATAGAATGGAGGTAAAATTTCCATTTATCCACCTTTGCCAGTCTCAATGGATTTGGATTAATGGCCCTTGATAAATTTTTCTACATTTATTAAGGTGTGATTGAATTACAGTAAACTGAAAATATTAATGTGTACCATTTGATCAGTTGCGACTTAATATATAACTGAATTTTCATAATTAAGAAATGATATCTATCTCATACGAGAATTTCTTTATGAACTTTTATGATTCAATTTTTCTTCCACCATAATTTCAGACAGCAACAATTTTTTTCCCCTATTCCAGCTTATCAGCAATACTACTGAATATACTCTTTTTAGCTTGGGTATTTTCACCAGTAAAATTATTTGGAAATTTATCTATGTTTTCATATGTATCATTATTTTATTATTTTTCTTTTTGAGTAGAATTTTAATATATAGCTAAACCAAAATTTGTTCATCGATTCACTGTACTAATAGGCATTCTAGCTGTTTTGAGATTTTGGTTATTACACACAAATCTGGCACAAATGTCCATGTGTAGATTTTGAGTCATATATTTTTGTTGTTTGGTTAAGTATCTAGAAGTAGAATGCCTGGAATATTAGTATAGCTTTAAAAAAATCTTGTCAAGCTATTTTCCAAAGTGTCCTTAACCATCACACTCATACTCCCTCTAGCAGCAGTTTATGAGAGTTCCAGTTGTTCTGCTTCTTCTTTAACATTTGATATGATAGTCTTTTTAATTTGAACCATGCTAAGTAGTTACATGGTACTTGCATTTTTTTATTATTGATGAGGTCATGTTCTCTTTTTGCAACTTTTTATTAGTCACTTATTCATCTTCCTCTGAAGGTCTTTCAAATCTTTTGCCTACTTTAAAAAAATTTGGAATTTTAAGAAGTTTTTAACAAATATCCTGCATATAGTGTCTTGTCTTATCAATGTTCATAAATTCTTTTTCACCTTGTGACTTGACTATTTTATTTATGATAGCTGTCAAAGAGTGAATGTTTATGTGTGTAAATAAAAATATTTTATCAGTTTTTTTGGTATGTTTACACATTTTATGTTCTAAGAAATGTTTGAAATGCAAAGAACAAAAAGATATTTTTTCTCTTTTTAACATTAGAATGTGTTGCTTTAGGATTTACACATATATAATGTCTTATTTTTAGTTAATATTTGTGTATGTGTGAAGTAAAGCTCAATTATTACTGTTTTTCAAGAAAGATATCCAGTTTATTCAGCATA